TGTCAGATTTTTTTTAAACAGGTCAAGTACTTCTGTCCTGTCAGCAATAGGTGTCCTCTCTCAGCTATATGACGAGGGTGTGATTTATCTTGTCTGACTTTACACTACAGTCATCAATCAGGGCTCCCTTAACGTCTTTTTTTTTTTTTAAAAAAACTACCAAACTTTTAAACCAAGACATTTCCAGAGGTCAATTTATCTCATCCCAAAACAGGCTGCTGAAACAGCTGGGATGAATGACACTCAGGAGATATCGTCTCTCTAGAATAGCTCTTTGAGCTACTTAACTAGCTCAAACTTCAACACTTATTCTTAGATATCTGAAGATTGACAACAGAAAAGTCTAGCCCCTGTTTGCACGTTTACCCATCCCAGGAACTGTAATAAAGAGAAGGTTTCAATTACTTCTGGGATCCATTCAAAGCTCATGGCAGTCTGCTCCAGGCAGGTGCACCCTCATCTCCTTCTCATGCAGATGACAAAAGCTAACCTATTTCAAAACTGAACATAATCTCAAAACTGCCAAGAAAATATCAGTAAAATTAGATAGCAATTTTTATTTATGTTCACTGTATTTATGTTTATTTATCTTTCACCAAGATATATATTCATAAACATGCTCATAGGAGCAATGCAATGTCAAAGCAGCTGCTTAACTTGGCTAAAAAGAGGCCTCTGGTGGCAGTTGTGAAGTATAACTTCTCGTAGAGTTACGAAATATGTATTTTGATGACATAATTTTCTATATAGAAACAGCTACAGAAAGCAGACTAAGCAGTTAGATTTGCAGTGAAAATTTTGACATACTACTGCTCATCTCCAGAGCACTAACCATTTCAGACCATCCTTCATGCCTACACCACAGTTGTCAAATTAGTCTTAAAGCTGCATATACTTCCAGTTAAGTAAAGCATCCCATTTTAAAACAGCTGCATTGAAAACTTCAGTGTTAAAGTTATTTCATTTCTAAAGATAGTAACGATTAAGCCACAGTTATGAGGCCTGCTTATCCCCTGACACCAACCATGAAGACTCCTTGATTTTCTTTAAAAATTACATAGACTGACAAGCAAAATTCACAGAAATATTTCTATATAAATATGCAGCATTTCTTGGGTGAGCATAAGAATAAAATCAGCCTGCAGAGTAAAACATATTAGACTGGCAAATGCATATGACTTCTATAAAATTCAATTCCTTTATTAAAGCTTCATGACACTGACCCATATAGAACATAGGGAGCCCAGACGTTAGGCACATGATTAGGAAAAATCACAGAGCCTACAAGAAGCTAGATAAGGCCCCCTGCCTTCTAGAAAGAGCCAGCAGACAGGAGAATCATTATAACATGGAGAATTTTAACAGGTATGTTAAGGTTGGTATGAAAGACATAGCACCAGAGATGTGTGTGTGACAGGACTGAAAGCGGCAGCAGGCCAACGACTAAAATAACAGCCTGTACTGATCACAAAGGACACCACTCCCAGCAGTAAAACTGAGGGATGAGTCTTTACGTCAAAGCCCAAAGTCCTGCTCTCCGATTAGATCACAGCACAGACTCCCATCAGCAGTGCCATGCATCCCAGCACCAGCAGAACAGCAATAAGGTTGCAGCGTATCATATGCACCATCCTCTTCCTCTGCATCCAACAGGACAAGGAGATGATAGACACATCAAACATATGTAAGACAAGGAAAAGTATAAAAACTTGACCTGAGATTTATGAAGGCTTACGGAATTACCGGTCAGAGGCAACGGGCAGCCTGTAACAGGTGACAATTTGCTTATTGGTGGGACTGGAGCAAAAGTAATCCCATTATCATTTAAGAGTCCGCAAAGAGGACTTAAGCAGACCAATGGACAGCCAAGGACTTTCTCTGGCATGGGCAAGTTTTCTACTGCTCTCCTGGTCCTTGACACTGGTATCTCAGGAAGGGAATAATAAGTCCCACCACCAGAACAGACCCTGTAAGACACTGTCATCTGCACAGCTGCATCAAGCAGTTCCTCTTGAGATGAGGCTACAGTAAGCAGCCTCAACTATAGTTTCCATCCTTCTAGTTATATTGGTGATTAACTTAAAAGCTGTCCAGGATGCAAATTAAGTTTAAAAGTTTCAGTGTTGCATAGTACCAAATGCAAGTCACTAATTATTTTCAGCTGAGCAAAACAGACAAGATCTACAGAAGAAAGTAATTTAACATTTCTCCCATTAGACTGGTCAGCCTGCATCCATACTAACATAAAAGCAATGCTAAAAACATTTACTATTTGGTATTTATTATAATAAATCTCTGAACTGCCTAGCCAATGTGCACTATGTTGCTCGTGAAATAACTTTTAATTCTTCATAATAAACTCATTAACAGATTTAAAGCAACAGGTCTATCTGTTCAGTCTTTTTATTTATGCCACAGTTACCTTAAAAGATGTTCAGGATAGAATATAAGCTAAAAATCTTTACAGGATATCTATTTTTAAAGCACAGATCTGCAAAACGTCGTACAACTAAAGCTCTGCACTTCCTATGCACAGCTGCACTTTTTCCTGACGGCATTTCAGTGCAGGTCCAATCCGACAAAACAGACTTAACTGCTTGTTCAAAGAGATGCTTTGTTTTCACGGAATGACAGCTCAAAACTGTAAAGGAGGAAAAACATTAGCTAAAAAAAAGGAGTAATTTTACTTGTCCAGAAGGGATTGTAAAGGATTTATTACTGCCAAAGTTTCTCTTCATATTGATGACAACAACTCAACACATTTCATTTTTTACAGATAGAAAGCACATCCAAGTAATTGCAAACAAAATCTGAAAACACTTCAATTAAGAAGATGAAATTTATATGAAGCAACACATAGTTATGCGTGTAAGTATACAACTTGTTACACATCCACAACCAGACAATAGGACATTGCCAATAGCGGACGCCCAACGTAGATCTTTCCTCTCATAAGCTGCTCCATCCAGTCCTACTGGCAGTCCCTCAGACAAACATAACAGTAAAATTCACACTGAGGAGAAATATAAGCTTTGCCATAGAGTAGCAGACCAATGGCTCATCTTTCCCTTTATCACACTTTATCTGTTTATACTTTACCTGACCAACAGCAAGCCTCTTATTGAGCAACTACAGAATGACAAATTGTCTACACAATTAAGATACTCCAAATATATAGAAAGAGTGAGTCAGATAAGGAGGTGTGCCTGATCTGCCCTATTTAAACATCTGTACAATCTGACTTAGCTGTAGATATGATACCATATTGCCTTAAATTAGAAACTGCAGGCAGAGAATGTACTTGGTGGAATCACACACCTTTTCCAAGCCCATGGCTCTTCTCATCCCTGTGGTCATCTTAACACAGTACACTACAGTTACTAGGCCTGAGTCAACTAAGCTGCAGACATCTCAAGTTTCAGAGTGATTTGATCAGCAGCATAAAATGAGCTACAGAGGCTGAATTCAGACGCAATGAGTTGTTAGCCATAGTCCTTCCTGCAGGACTGTGGATTTGCCAGCTTAAGAAAACCCGCAGCTTTAGTAGAAGCAGAAACCATTCTGCTAACCCACACAACTTGTACAAGCCTAAAATCAAGGGAACCGTTACTGTAAAGTGAGGGGTAAACCTTTGGCTATGCGATAATTGTTAATGCTACAAATAATGCAAAGACTAAACCACCTGCAGAACCTTTCGGAGTATTGCAGTCCAAAAGCATGTTCACCAGCATTTGTACTGTTGGTGGGCAGTCAGGTGGCAGCTCTTCTCTAACGGGTCTCATAGAGCTTGACAAAAAATGGTTTCATGGAAAAGACTTCAGACTAATTTTCATGAGGTAGCTATGAAAAAGATCTGTCTATAAGAGTGTTCCCAAAGCAGCAATACTAACATTTGTTTTGCAGAATCTAAGTTTATTCATGTATTTATAATGCTAAAAGTACTCCCTCAAACAGGTAAGTGAAAACTTAAGGAAAAAAAATAAAATATTACAGGCACTGTAAACAAGGAACATAAAAAGTTGCTAATTCAGGATAGCATGAAAAAAGTTAGATAATAATCAGGAAGAGGGAAATCAAGTTTTCCAGATACAAGGTTTTGCTCTGATGACCTCCAGTTTGTTTGGTGGTTTATTTCCCAAATGTCACTTAAAATGTGTACCTTGGGATTCTTTCTTACATTTACAAAGACTTCTGGGAAATACTCCCCCTTACATTTCTTTTAAGGTCTTTCCTCCCAATAGCTCTTAGCTGCTGAATAGAAAGCAGGAAGGGGGGGTGGAAGGTAAGCAGTCCAAGTTACAACTACAATAACCACTGTCCACAGTTTCTCAGTATATGGAAATTCAAATTCCAGTTTCAGCTCCCAGTGCTTTGAAAGAAATTCTTTGCAAAATCAAATACCTCCATAGAGCAGGCAAGGACTTCACAGTACCCACGAATTTCAAACCAGATAGTCTGAGAATAGTAAATGCTGCCTTTTCTCCCCAGCTCAAGAATTCATATACGTTAAATCAAAACATGTATTTCTAGAAATATGGATAAGCAAAACTAAGGCACATTATTTCAGAGCTAAAACTACCTAAAGGTCTTAGTATAAAACATCAGGAAAAAAAAGATAAAGATTTCACCTGATCTTTTCAGACCCAAACAGCAAAAACGCTAAAAAGAGCCAGAAATCATGGAAAAGCAGTGCTCAAGCACGTCTGATTGAAGCAGAGGGCAGGATTTAATGTAAAGAACATGTATTCTAACATTATTTGAAGCTTGAAACATAATTCTCTTTCAATGCTAAAGCAAATATTTGGTCCATGTAATGTGCATTTACTCTTCATATATGATAGAGAGTAAAAAATACAGAATATATACAATACAGAGCAAAAATGTAGGCCTTAAAAAAAACTTAAAAGAACAAAGTGATCATTATTTGCAGTTAAATTTTTGTTATTAGTAGAGATTTTTGGTTTGTTGTGTTTTTAAATTAATATGCATCATTTCTTTACCTTACAAACGGTCTCTGTATCCCAGGGCAAGATGGTCCTCAGATCAATAACTTCACAGGACACACCAAGCTTTTCTTGAGCCATTGCTGCCACCTCTTTGATCACATGTACCTGAAAAGGCAATGTATTATCACCAAGTAAACATTTAATTTCTGTTTAAGATGTTCTAAATTACAAATACTGAATACAAGCAGTGATTTAACATATTACCTGCATGTTTAGCAGAAACCTTTTTATTTAGTAACCTAATTTATTACTCTGTTCATTCTTCTTATTTACTACCTACATTATTCCTAGTATTTCAGCATCACTTCAAAAACTAACTTCAGTGAAGAATTGCTGAAAACAAAACTGTTGCTTTCTAGAAAAGTATCTTTCAAGTAACAGTATCAAGCCCCACTATTTTATATTTGTGGCCAGTTTGGGGTTTAGGATAAGGGTTTTTTTAGGACTGTAACTAAGCTAAGATCCAAATATATCAGAGCAATGTATTTTGATGCAGCAGTCACATGAAATCCTGCAAGCAGCATTACATACATTCAAAAAAATTCCTAGTAACTACACTTACTACAATTTACCAAAAGTGCAATAGATTACCAGGTGAATATCTCCAGAGTATTATCTTACAAATAGTTAGGAGAAATAGCAAGTACTACATAAAAAATTACCTGTAAGCATCCAGTCCTGACCACCACAATCAAAGCATATTGGCACTACTGTGACAATATGACCACTCACTGGTCTTTCAACACAGTTTAATACCAACATTACCAATGTTGCATTATCTGATTATTATAATTAACATTTTACTAAAACAAAAAAGTATTCCCCTCTAGCAAGAGGCTTGTACTGAATTAGAATACACATTATTCACTATCCACCAGTCAAGGAATGTATTTAGCAGCACATGTAAGGGTGTCAAAGTAGATGTAAAACAATCCACATCTATTAGCATCCTTTTCATAAGGTATCTTATGATATGAAAATAAAGCAGTACTACATATATTTAAAACTGTGTCTTGACATTATTTTATACAGCACTTTTAAGCAAAACATACTGTAAACATTGGCTTCCCTAAAACAAACATTAGCAAGCAAATGCTCCAACATGGAAAATAACAACTGCTATGACAACTCAGATTATCCTCCACACATATCTCAGCAAAAAGTATTTGCACATGAGATATGAGAGTAAAAAAATTTCTCAATATGATGTTGTCAATAAACCATTAGAACATTTCATAATACAGGTCTGGACTGAGACAGATGACCTCCATCAAGCAACTTCTAGGCATAGGTAAGGAGATGGAGGCCAAAGACCATCCCCAATAAGCAATTTGGATGAGATCATCTTGGTCTAGAAGGCAACAGAATTTAACAATACGGACATGGTCAGGCAGTGTCAGTTACCTGAGGGTCAGAGAGCAGTATTAGTTTCTACATAGAGCAAAAATCTACGCTGAAATAAGATGATTAAGGTTTTCAACATGCATCTACATAACGCAAATATGACTAGCTAAACACCAAAGGACTAATTTAAAAGGTAAATCAATACAAGTATTATAATAATAAAAAGAAAATATAGCTTGCAGTGGTTTTGTTTAAACTTCTAATACATCTGTGGCTGTAACAAAAGGGTTTGAGAATTTTCAACATGACACATGGGATGGATGTTTTTGCCATTTTTCGATGTATAAGTGAGAATGTCTACCTAGTTCACAGGAGATAAGGATTAGTTAATGACAATAGAAGACACAGCACAACTGGAGAGGAACTAAAAGCCTGTATGCCCCTCAATTAGTACCACTCAGGAAAGCAAGCATCAAGCAACCCCACCAGAGCAGCCGCTGCCAAGCAACTACCTAACGTCCAAAATCATATAAGAAGTAATCAGTGAGTATGTGCAATCACTCTGCCTATTGACAATGGACTCTGGATTGGCTGCATGTTTAGCAAACAAGTTCAAGTTTATGTACACAGCCTGCAAACACCCTCAGCACATACTACAGATCAAATATGTTCAATAAGAAGCCTGACACATCCAGAACACGCTGGACTTACTGTGTATGCACTAAGCATCTGTCCCCAGCTGTATTATACAGCCACACCCGTGGTCTGGTCAGCTCCTACATTTACATAAGGGTTGCAGATCTGTCCTATCAATATTCACACCAAAAGAACTGCCCGTCTTAACACTTGGCCTACATTTTCCAAGCTCCAAAGCACATTGTTTTTTGAAGGATGTCATTCCAAGTCCTCTCTGCTGTCCTGCCTAAAGGAGATCAATGTGAGGACAAGGAAACTATCACAGAAAAGCACTGAAGATTAGAGATTTCAAACAAAAAGAAAAAAAAAGCACAACCCCAGAAATCAATTCAATACTCTTCTGATGAAAGTTGTAACACACTCTCCTCTAAAAGCTTCTCAGATATAATTAGGTCAGGAAAATAGCAATTTCTTAATTATAGGTTAAAGGCAATAAAAAGATTTTTCTGGCAATTCCAAATTAGACTCAAATTTCTCTTCTATAATTCTCAAAAACGAACATGTATTTTCTTACCAGATTTTTTCAATATTTGCACATCTTAATCTGAGGGGCAGGTGTCCAATCATGTTCTTGAACAGCTTTGAAATACAACTGTTGGAATCAAAACTATATCAAATCCTATTTGTATTAAATGTTAGTGGATTTTAACTCTCTGCATAAAGGGAACCCCAGACCGCACTTTTTTAAAAACATGCAGTAAAAAATCTATACTTTTCTTTCAGCATACTACTTTGAACTCTCCTTTCCCATTGTCTTCCTCAGAGTCACATCTTGCTGCCTCATTCTTAAATACATCATTTTCATAATCATGGATAAATCATTAACCTCCTGCACAGGTACCTCTTCCACACTTCCAGAGTCAGCTTCAACTAAAAATGACTAAAATCTTACACAATAAAAAGCAGGTTTCATATAAATATAAATACTGGTAATCATTTATTCAAGCCTATAGTGATGGAAGATGCACGCAGTTTATTGTCTGGCACTTGAGCCTGAAGGCAACACTATTCAAACACCATCTAAACCTTAGCCTAGGCTTTGCTGGATGACAAATAGCTTGTAAGAGCCTTACTGACCTGAGTGCCCCAAGCAACCAGTGTCACATCACTGCCCGTCTGCAGCACCTCAGCTTGAGACAGTGGAATGTTGTAGGGCTCCACAGGAACTTGTTCCACTGAATAAATAAGAACAAAGGGAAAAATAAGCATTAGATTCCTTTACTATTCAATAAGATCCCATAAAAATAGGAATTTTCTTCTATGTTAGTGCCATCTAAAACTATAAACCAAAATCACATTGAGTATTAGCCTTTATTTCAGAGGTTTAGCTGTAATTAAAAATTATACTGTTAAAACACATTAGTCTAAATATTTTTGCTTTGAAAAAATAAAATTTATCTATTCACCAAAAACACATCACAATTAGAGACAGTAGACAAAAATGAAGCATCTTGTCATCTCTAAAACATTTAAGGTGGTTCCACTCAATTTAAGACCCATTTACTAGTTTTCAGATGGGAACACGTTAGGTCAGTTGTGCTAGTTTTGAATCAATGCTCCAATGCACTATAAATTGACTTGTTTAGTGATTAAAACCACGATAAAAGGCATTCTTGTATCATATTTTAAAAGAAATATTGTTTTGATCTAAAGGTGAACTTGTTTATGCACAAGCAAGTCGAGTAATACTTCTTAAAACAAATTCTAGCAATAAGTGGGGAAAAAAGTCTTAACTCTTTCTAAATACACAAACCCCATTTATAAAGGCGGCACTCTACTTTTTTGTTAACATAATGCATAGTTCATAAAATAGTTATGGAGTTTTTTTTTTTAACAAAATTGCTTCTTGAAGTTATGATAAAGAATCCTATTGAGTGACACCAGCAAGGGAAATTAAGTGTTTTGTATTTTTTCCTTCATTGGTATGGCAGATCCAAGTAAAATGACCTTTTTTTCCTGGCTTATAAGTTAAAAACTTAACTTTTCAATAAATCAAGTAGTGAATTTTTTTTTAAATTACAGATTTATTTTTTTTTTCCCCCAGTAAAGACATATAACTACTATAAAATCACAGAATCACAGAATGGCTGAGGTAGGAAGTGATCTCTGGAGATCAGCTAGTCCAAGACACCACTCAGTACAAGGTCACCTACAGTCGGTCGTTCAGGGCCACATCCAGTCGAGTTTTGAGTATTTCCATGGTCAGAGACTCCACAACCTTGGTGGGCAACCTGCTCCAGTGTTTGACCACCCTTATAGTAAAAAAGTTTTTGCCTATGCTTATGTTAGAGACATCTCGCTTCACGTGAATGGAAACAGAGGAGACATACATATTAACTAAAACATTCTTCCTAAAAACAGAACAGGAACTTTTTTTTTCCAGCATAATTCAAGAACACACATCCACTCAATGAAGGAAAAAAAATTAATCTTAAAAGTACAAGGTACTTTTAAACACAGCACAAAATCAGATCTCATTGCAAACTATTATTTTTTTAATCTATTAAAATGTCAGCATGTTGTAATAATTTCTTTGAATAACAAGCAGCTAAAGGAATATAGGGCAGGGAAAGAAGGAGGAGAAAGGCACATCCAGTCCTCGCTCACTGCACATTCCTGGTTGACAGTAAAGCAGACCAGGCTTCTATGGATTTTGCACACGGTAAAATCCTCAGGCCAAAGAAAGCAGAGATTCTGAAAGATAATGAAACCCACAACTGTACTAATTGCATAACTGTCTTTTTCATGGGGTGGTTATCTACATGAAACCTGGAGAACAAGAACCTTATAAAGATGCCACAGGACCTTTGAGTGGAAACCCAGGGAAGTGACATGAATGAGAAGGTTTTGAAGTGACAGTGGGATGCACCAGAGGAAGAACAGGAAGGTGTACATGATACAAAAAATTCCCTCTCTGTGTAACGGTTTTATCCGCTTAGAGAAATTAAATATAACATACAGCTACACAAACTAACTCATTTCTTATTATAGGTAAACTATTCTGCAACAAGATGTCCATTGGATGAGCTCATCTAGAATTCCTGACATTTTTAAATCCAAAATGCAGCTTGTCAAAAATTTATAGGGAAGTCCAGATTTGGCAGGATTTTATCCAAATGCCTTTGCAAAAACTCCTCCCTCCACTAACAATGATGAAAAGTAGCATATGAAATTATTCTATGCACATTCTTCTATAATAATTAACCAAACCAGGACAACAATATTTATATACAAAGCAGCCCATTCATCTATTACTGAAGATACAAATAAAATATTTTAAATCAAATATTTCAAATACAGTTTTCAAATAAAGCAATTAACAAAAAGTTGTAATTATCAGAGAAAAGTGGCCATCACAAGTTAATTTTAAGAGGCCGCACCATCTGTTGCTTTTTCTAAAAGAGCAGTCTAAACAGCAGAAAGAAAACACGTTTTCTCATCTTACCTGTCTTGTCTCTATAACAACCACTGATGCAAGTCATATTTATTTCTACACCACCAATGTCATATATAGTACAATTAAATGAACCTGAAAAGGTCAAAAAACACCAGAGTAGGCTCTCTACAAGATGTCTAAACCTGATAATGTCAAGGTGACTCATCTTCTCCTTTGATTCATAATCATTATGTGCTCTTGACACTGCACAGGTTGTTACCTACTTTTTATAAATCAAAGCCTCCTTTTTCTTTTTAATTCAGATATTTTCTTAGTATCTCTGACATTTAGGGGGACGTCATCACGGCACTTTCAACATTATAATAAGTTAACCAGTAACAGAATTCTCTCTGTATATGAGTACTTGGATATTTAACTGTGGACTTTTACCCAGAAAGGCTTACATTTTTTTGCTCCTTTCTAATTTTATACAAGGCAAATGAACATCCACAAAACTTCTGACGACCACTGTAGTGTTATGTAGAAGGAGAGAGCATCTGCTCCCCCTTAAGGGTGTCTGGACAAGGATCCTCTCAATGCAAAAGAGGATAATAGGAAGAGGGAGAAGCCATAAGGAAGAATACGAAGGGACACAAACCTAGCCAACAAACGATGAGAGAGGCAGTAACAAGAACCAAACCTGCTCAGTCGCACTTACTGATAAGGGTATGGGGAATGTGGGAGTGTTTCTTTCAGTAAGATTAGCTGGCAGAGGACCTTGCCAAATGGGATGATAAAGGAGAAGCTATAAACAAAACATACAGAGACATAAACCTGAAGACAAACATAACAGAGACAAAGACAAGAAACAAACCTGATCAGGAAGACTGAGTGAAGGGCTATCAAGAAACTAGGGGCAAACCAGGACTTTCCAACTCATAAGCACGCAAATCTGAGGGTCCAGGGTGTTGGAGGGGGGTGCATGGAATACACCAGTGGATGAGGACATGTGAGGGTGAAGGGGTTGGGGAGGAACAAGGCAGGGAACAAACAGAAAGGGTTATAGAAGGGACTAGCTGCAGATAAAAGCGGGCCAGTCAGCATGTTTGTCTGACCGAGCCCTGTGCCTCATAATGGCAGCCCGTCCTAGCTTCTTTTGTAACCCTGTCCTGTGCAGGGCTGTGTGCTGCAAGGACCGAGTGCCAGCTGCTGGTGAGACCAGCATGAGAAGGGAAGACACTGGGCCAGCAACAGGGGTCAAACTGGGATGCAGACACCCCAGGCCTGCGGTGGGAGCTACAGGAGCAAGGGGAGCTCTTGGCCACCAGCTGCGGGAGTGGGAACAGAGCGTGTGTCCCAAACACCAGCTACCGGCAGGGACCGGAGCGAGGCAAGTAAAGGGCTGTTCTGTCTCCTGTGGGAACCATGCAGGGCTGCTAGACTGGCTCTGCTCAAGAGTTTTGAAAGGAAAAGAATTGTCCAGGGGGAGAAACATGGTCATTCCCACTCCACGTACACACAACCAAGCTGGTGGTGGCATGGCCATAACTGCCCAAGCAAGTAAGCAAAGAGTAAGGGTGAGCACTCCAAAGAGCCCAGGAACACCAAGGAACAGCAAGTCCTCTGCTAAACAAACTGCTGGTAAAGGGGCTGACTGTGCAAGAGAGATCGGCCACCCTGCCTGCGGGCTCAGCCGCCCATGCAGCACTGTACCGCCTTCAGAGAAGAAATCTGCAATTATTAGCTATAACTACACGCACTAAGTGCACTTCTTTTTCTTTTCCAATCTAGTTACTGCTTTATGATCGATGTCTTACATACATATGTACCTATAGAAACATATATATGCACATAGATAGCATGTTATATGTATACCTATACATGAACACATATATCTGTATATAGGGACTATTTCAAATTGGTCGCGTGTCAGAGCTAATGCAGAATATGAAACTTATCAATTGCATTTCATTCAAACAAAATAGATAGTTCTCTTTTGTACCTTTTAAAACTTACTATTAACAGACACCCAGGCAAAAAGTTTAAGACCTTAGCTTAGTTCATTCCCTCTTTTCGGTGTTACCGGGGCTCTTGGATATCTAAGGCGTGAGTTACTTTTTGAATGAACTGGAAAATGTTTTCAAAACAGTCTTGCAAAGCTGTTCTCTCTGGAAGCTGCTTTTTCTTCTCAGTTCATCACAATGTGAATGTGGTGAACTTATTGAAGTAACATTGCCTTATCTACCTTTGTCCCATGGATGTCTGTGGTGAAGATTTAAGGTCTAATTTTATTCTTCTATCTTGTGTGGGCCAAGGCATGTTTGGATAGCAAAAATTCATATAGAAACATTCATATAGAAACATCATAACAACATGGTTAATTTTACCTCGTGTCTGAATAAGCATAAAACATATTTGAACAAGCAAATCTGTGTTCATCTGTGAAGACATCCAGCTAAATTCATTATTCCAAAAACATAGCAAGCAATCACAATATCCATGTGATAGTCACATCGAAATATTTTGTACTACAGCTTTTATTTACCTTGGAGACCAGACATGTTTCAAAACACTTATGAAGACTTTTTTTTTGTACAATGTCTTCATTGTTTTGAAAAAAAAAAAAATCTATGCTTGAGTCTTGAAAAACCTGCCCTGTCATCAACAAGCCAAAAAAAAAAACCAACCCACAAAAGACAAAAACAAACAAACAAAAAAGGTACAAAAGACAAAACCAAAAACGTTGAAAGTAATTGGTGGGCCTATATAGCTCTTTGGAGGTATGCATCAGATGCAAAATCACAAGGTTGGTTCTGCACGAGAGCTTCCATAAAACAGCAATGACCTGGCATCCTGCTTAACATTCTCAAAAAGCAGCTTATAGCTAGATATCTGTTATCTGCCACCACTAGCATACCGCAGCTAATTTCAACAGTAATGGCAACACTTGGGGGCAGAAGCAGAGCGTATAGTTTTTTGTTTGGTTGTGATGGGTGTGGGGGTTTTGTTGGTTTTGGTTGGGTTCGGTTTCTTGGTTTGTTTGTTTTAAACAAAGCATTAGTAGCTTCAACCCACGTAAATAAGGACAGATATCCTACATTTTAAAAACTAGCCCATCTACAGCCTATTTTCAGCTGAAATTTCAAAGATATTAACAAGTCTGAACAAAATATCACAGATAGCTATTTAGAGGCCTCATAGGGAGAAAGAAAATTCCATTAGAGGAGAATGATGAAGCTCAAATGCCTACATTAATTTTACAGATAGAAAATACTACTTCCCATTATCATCTCTGACACCTTAATTTTTCAGTGAAGTCCCTAGACATCCATTGTAACATCAGTCATGAAGTTCTCTGCGGCAAACGTGTCTGTTCACGTGAAGCTAGAACAAAAAAAATTTATGGTAGGAGCAATATAATTTCATTATTCAATGCCTTAGCCATCATCATAGAAATAAATAAAATTATTTTTTGTCTGGAACAATGAGGTCCCAAATCTTGGGTGGGGCTTTATACCATATTATACTATTAATAGCTTGTCTTTCTCCTAAAAATATATCAATGTCAAAGTGGAAGTTTCTGGTAGAAATCAGTAACCCCACCCCTCAAAAAAAGAAAAAAAAAAGATAAATAAAGCAACAGAGGACAACAGAGGACATCTGATACCATTTTGTCGTCTTGTTTTGGAAAGCCTGCATGTTGCCAGCCTTGGGAAGCCCCTGTAAGTATTTTGAGACACTAATAGAGACAACAAATACATACATAGTCCAAGCTTACTGTGTAAGTGAATTTCTGAACCTGTACTTTCTCCTGCTAGAATCAACATGCTTATATGGGTTATTATAAAAATTTGCTCTACTCAAAACACAAGACACTTGCATTTTTAAAATCCTTCTTTCCACCATTTATCCTGTTCTTGTTTATCAGGCTTGTATCTTATTGCTGCTGCCTCTGGACCAAACAAACGACCATGATGACCCTGGTCCATTTCTGAATTCACCAGGCCACTTTGTTTCTGTGGTGGAATTACCAGAAACCCTGACCACAACCAGTAGCATAAGGAGGAACTCTTAAGAGAGATTAATTTCCCAGGAGAAACTCCCAGACACCACTCTTCCAGTTCAAGCTGACCCAACCCACAAAGGACAGCTAAACAGTTACGAGGATGAACTAATGATGCCAGAGGGAAAGGTTTTCAATGCAAATAAAAGGAATATCAAAACCCTTCCACATAATATTTCTGCTTTATGTTGTAGAAATAATAAAAAGTCCACTCAAAACTGTCTCAAAACAAAAGTTACCTGTCACGATCATCCCCATCACATGTTGACACAAGTGTACTGCAAATTTCAGCCTACATCACTAAACTGATGTTCTTAGAAATTTTAAGACAAAAATGTAGATAATGTCTCTGAAAAAAATCAGGCCATCAGAATATAAGAGGAAATCAGTCTTTCAGAAACTACCATCATCTTGCAGCAACATCGCAGTTGGTTATTGACCAGCATATAAACCATATTAATCACTATTTCAGCACATCTTTAATCAAGATTTCAATCACAAGGCTGATTTCTGTTCACCAGACAACCCAAGGATTGCTTTACAAGTCATTTCCTCAAACAAAATACAAAAACCTCCTTATATTCTCAAAAGCTGTGTGATATTGATGTGCAGCCATTCGTTCCACTATGAAAGCAAGTATTTCATTAACTCTACAGTCTGTATTTCTGATTTGTAAATACTGGGGTCATAAAAAAAAAGAAAGAAAGGGTGGTTTTAAAGGCACAGGAATTTTAAAATTCTTTTTTTTTTTTTTTCTTTGTTTAACAGGACTCAGACGCAAGTTCATTTTCCAAACTACTTCATTTAAATGAAGGGTCAGAGGTCTTTATTGCTAAATTTCAGTAAGCTCTCAAAGCATACTGAACTTAAGGAATGCAATACCCTTTGGGTACATCATACCACACCACACTAAAAATAGTTGCACTTTTAAAAATACATTGCTAATGGGAATTCTGGATCTTTTTTGAAAACATAAAAGCAAATAAACAGTTTCTTCGATAAATACCCTATTTGTTCCTGAGTTATTCTGCTATTTTTTTGTAGCTCTGATGTCCACTTTGTAAATCTTTCCCTTGTTATTCTTTGGTTCTCTTCTCCAGGAAGAGGATAAATTTACCGACAAAATGGATGCACTGATGGAAAAGTGCTGTTAAAAAGTTCAAAGTAAAATACAAACATTTTGTCCTTTGCTCAATTTCAGTCCACAGAGTCGTGTTGGATCACTGGATTCAAGCATAGTTGGTATTTAAAGCTATATGCCATAGAAACACTGAAGGTAAGTGATGGCTAAAGTTCTATTTTATTAGCTGTTCACCCAATCACTCTGCCTATCTCCACATGCAAAATTTGTTTTCATGCATTATCTGTTCTCAGTCCAGTTTCTCTAGTCCAAAGTAGTAACAAGCTAATTTTTACAGCAAACTCAAGCACTATCATCATCAAATTATTCTTTTCTTATATGTTCCGCATAATGATAGCTGTTAAGACTTCTTTGAACCAAAATGTTCATTATGACTAAAACAAATGAGAAAAGTAATGGCAATCACACTTCCTTCCACATAAGATTAAAATCTAAGGAGGCAGATCTTCAACATTTTTAGAAATTAAGCACTTGAAAGAAAATTTACTTTTGGGAAAATGATGATGGTGATGTTCAGTTCTTTTGGAAAAATAAAAACTAATCTGGAAATTATTTTAATATCTAGAGTTACCAAAAAGAAAGAAGTTTAACTTCTGTCAAATTTATATTGCAATTTGATAAAGGATAATGTCTCTTAGTTCTAGTTTGTTTTTTTTTTAACCCAAGACTGTACAAAGCATTCCACTTCCAAAGTTAACTGAGCATGAATTACACTTTAAATGTTCATCGATCTTTGTAGCCAAATTTAGAGATCTTATTCAGTTTTCACAGTTCCTCTAAAAACACAACCCCCAAACATAGCTAGAGACAAAACAAGTCAAGACTTCTGCTGCAGTATTGTTCTAGCTGTGACTATCAACATATATGTGTTTAAAAAAAAAAAGCTTTGCTTTATTGGAAAATACAGCATATAAATCTTTACCTGCAGCTCTGTAAAGTATTTTAGGTTCAAAGAATATGCATGGATTTTTGTCCTCTATGCATGACAGCAGCAGTCCCTTGGCCTGAAGAGGACTCCTTGGAATAACAATCTGTAAAAATATTTTTTAAATAGTTTATTTAAACTGCAATTCTGCTACAAGCTTCCTCAATTAATATTAAAAACTAAGCAATTATTTGCTTTAAATAAACCTACGTACAGATTGAGCAGTTCTTACAAAGTCAATTAACATCATTGCTATGTTATTAAGACACACACCAAATCTTGAATTTTATTTTGTTCATTGATAAGGCTTGAATAGTTCCCCTCTTCACCATGATATAAATACTAATGGACTCCACTCCAATAAGGTACAACTAACATCTTAATAATAACATTTTGAGGTAGAAGGAACAGAAGAAAGTCAGTCAGGTTAAAAAAAGTTAGTTTAGTAAAATTAATGTAGATATATGACAGAAAAAAACCAAACACCAGCTAGGCAATCCTCAGTTGCTTGCGTAAAGATTCATCAGGGCAAGCCTGGAAGGTATTCAGACTTAGTCCAGTAAGTTTTGAAGACTAAAAAAGGAAATAGCTATTTAAAGTTGATTTCCTTTGCTTATGGTGGAAGCCTGAAATTTGTTCATTTCCAAAATGAACAAATCCAAAAAAATACTGGAAACTATTATCAAGTGAAGAGAAAACTAAGTAAGGCCTCCAGATGTAATCTGAATACCTGGAAGGAAAAGGTATAATTGATTTGCCAACAGAAGAGTTAATTTTGGATGATCGAAGAGAATGTTGATGATGAACAGAGAATTACCAAATTATCACAGTTTAAATGAAAATAGAACCCCAGAGTTCAATTCCCTCAAATTAGAAGGACCAGCTAATTTACATCCCAGAGATCTGAAAGAGCTGGCACATGCAGCATAAAGTCTACTAGCAAACATTTTTATAGCAGTGAGGTTAGAAGTGGCTCTGACTGAAAACATTAGTTGTGGCACTTTTTTAAAGAAGAAGAAAAAAAGAATCTATGTAACTACAGATATGTTAACTTACTGCCTCCAGAGTTTCCAAGGCTTCAAAATATTTTTTGAGAGCAAGAACATTTAATTATATAAAAGTAACAGAAGAGGGTCAAAACACAACCTAAATCTGCTATCACATCAAACTAACTTGATAAGTGATTTTTCTAAACAAGTGAGAAGCAGTCTATTAATATTTCACCTCACCATTTGGTAACAGACACATGGGAAATTACCCAACTGATGGCTGTTTCTAGTGCACCTCCATAGGGATCATCTTTTGGACAGACTTTATTTACCTTACTAATTTACAATGTTAAGTCAGAACATGGTAATTAAAACTATTCAAAAGCTGAGAGTCACTATCACTACAGAGGATGACACCAAAAAAAGACCTAGTTCACACTGAGGACATGACTGGCAAAAGCAGAAGCAAACTGAACAATACGTACTGAAAAGTCACACATTTAAGGACTACATTTTTGTTATAAATGTAGAACTTGGCAGTAGAAAATCAGGTCTGAATTTATTATCTTCTCAAAGGATGACTAGGACACTATGCAGTACAGCCCTAAAAAAGCATAATAATAGAGCCAAGGAAGTGTTAGTGCTATTGCAAAAATCACTGCTAGAAATTCAGCTGGAATACTTGATGCCTATATCAAATGTTTTGAAAGAAAACAAATGAAACAGGTGCCAAAAGAGCTTCAGAAATTGTTAACATCTCTCTCATAGTTTGATTTGTTTAGTCTAACAAAACAAAAACTAAAGGGAAAAAAATTGTTCTCTTAGTATATGAAAGAGAAGATGAAGGACAAATAAATTAAATATACAAGTTAGTCAGGAACAAATTTAGACTGGAAATGAAAAGAAAGCTTCTAGCTGTGACGGAAAATATTCTGGAGTAGTCTTACAATGGAATGGAGAGAGTCCATACAGTAATTTTGGAAGACAGTCTGATCCGTTAAGACATACATTCTCACAACAGCAGACAAAAGATAGAACCATCTAGCAATGTCCTCGTCATCCCAACAAGCCTTGTCTTAAGTACTAATGGTTACAGTCCTTCGCCTGAACAGCCAAAGTTGCACAAACTGCCTTTTGCTTGGGAAATCCGAACCTCACCTTTCACTTAAGAAAAACACAAAATAAAAATCTTAAGTCAGGAACCTGCTGCAGAGTTTAATAAGAGGGCAGTTTTCAAAACCACTCTCCCCAAAGATCAATCCTACCCTTCCCAGCTCGTAATACATAGCCTTTCCTCCCGTAATTTGGAGAAAATATGCATGGATATGGGACTTCCGCAACTGCATCTGAACCACAAGTTCATTTGCATTTCTGGATTCATACGTTAAGGGCTGGGTTTGGGTTCATTCAAAAAAAAGACCTGCAACCTTGAAGATAAAGCCTTAAACACTACTGACTGCATTAATGAACAGCTTTCCAAAAAATATTAAAGGAACAATATTGTTTTCACAAAGGTAGAAAATTCAAAAGATAGAGTTGAAAATAGTTTGCTGTGCATCGAAAACTAATAGATTGTTCCATCAGTTCCACAAAATTTAATGTGCCCTTTGCCTTTAACTGAGATCACAGTTGTTAGTAGGAGCAACATGTTTTAGCACTTTACCCAAGGAAAAGTGAAAGAAAGTGAAAAAACAAGAAGAAAGACCAGACATGAGAGAAAACAAATTAAATTACCTGGAGTGATTAAACAAAATTCTTACTAACTTATTCAGGAGATTAAGCACAGTAGTACTAGGTTGCTATGAATTAGAAGGACTTAATCCATTAAAGAGTTAGACCACTAAATCTCAGCACTTGGTTCAGTATACAAAGATTTGAGATTGACCAACAAGATCAGCATAAATTAACTAGACCTGGCATCAGTATCTAAATCATGTAAGTTATCTTGTGCCTCCATATGATAATAAACTACTCAAGAAACTATTTGATTCAATTAGCTGGCAAAAGACTTTGTAGATTGCTTTCGTCTGTATCAGGAAATATTTTCAAGTTCAGAATAGGAACATCACAAAGATCATAAAGAACACCCAAAGACAAACGCATTCTGTTTCTCAAGTATCATGAAATAAAATGTGAATAATACAAGATTTTTTATTTAAGCATAGAGAAACAAGTAGCAGAAATGGCTACGGCTTCCCTGTAAATGAATAATATCTGAAGTTTTAGAACACCAAAATCATATATAGACAATCATTTAAACAATAGAGAAACAAAGAACATGTGTCTTCAGCATACAAACACTGGTTTTGCTTAAGTCTTCCACATTAATTAAGCTATGAGTCATTTCCCAATGGACTGCATGCCAGTTAACCCAGAAGTACAAGTCCATACACAAAAATTTACTCAGAAAAAAATAGAAGAGCTGGCAAACAGTGCTTTTTTAATCTGAGACTATGAGATTCACCCCTCCTTCTTCTCCAGGAAAGTTATCCATCCAAGTGCTAGTAATCTCAGCTTCAAGGATGCTACCATCTCACACAGAAAGCTTCTCTAAAGTTATCATCCACAGAATCACAGAGGTTGGCAGGGACCTCCAAAGGTCACCTCGTCCAACCCCCCTGCTCAAGCAGGGCCACCCAGAGCCAGCTGCCCAGGACCACACACAGACAACTTCTGAATACCTCCAAGGATGGAGACTCCACAACCTCTCTGGGTAACCTGTGCCAAGTGCCTCCTCATGTTCAGACAGAACCTCTTGTGTTTCAGTCTGTGCCCGCTGCCTGTCACTGTCATTCATATAAATGAATTTGATAATGCACTTAAGACGACAGATGCAGAAAGAAAAAAAAAAAAGGAAAGTACTATTCATTACTGTTAGGTTTTAGTTTCTGTACTATACTGGATACCGAACAGATGGAAAATGTATGCTTTTAGTGCAAAAAGCACACAAACACAAAATGCTATGTCTACTAAAGATAGCTTCAATAATGGCTATAAATTCTCAAACACTTAACACAGTTTAAGTTTTATAACTTGAAAATTTCTAAAAGAGTTTTCAGTTAATGCATTCAGATATTTTGTTGTGGACTGACTTCCATTCTTCTTCCCGTGCCTGCATCCAGACTAATTGTTAGTCAGGTCCATCAAAAAACTAACAAACAAAAAACAAACAAACAAAATTAATCTTCATAAATTAAGAGTTACCATACCTTTATTCCTGGACAGTGAGCAAAAAAAGCTTCTGGACTTTGAGAGTGATACAGTGCACCATGACCCACACAGCCCCAGGGGGCTCTGATGGTGAGGCTTCCACAATTAAACAGATCTCCAGAGCGGTAACGATATTTTGCTGCTTCGTTAACAATCTGGGAAGATTTATGTACAAAAGTAACATTCAGTCCAATATCTTTACTTATGAGTCATTAAGCCTCTACAATACATGAGATGTAATTACATCATCTGCACCATGCATGGGATTCAGAGGACCAAATTAGAAGCAAAGGAATCCTGTAAGTCAGTGGAAAGGCAAACATTTTCAAGGAAAATGAAGCAATAGTTTAGTGTGTTCAAGTTAGACGCACAGGCCTCAGGAGTAGCCATATAACCCAGTCGTTCCCCCATTCCCATACTGTCAGATCAGTTCAAATCTGTGGTTTATCCTGTGCACATACAGCCAGCTGCAGCAGCACAGAGAAGTGAGAGATGGTGTTGGGAAGACACAGCTGAGGAATTTAAGGGTTCTGAAGCCAATAGAGCCACAAAACCAAAAATAAAACCAAAGAGACATTTGTTTAAAGCCACATCTTTAATTTTGATTATTTAATGAGCCTTCAAATTGGCCTTGGTACCCTCCTGTTTACTTAAAGCACGCATAAATATTAGTAATACAGTTGTGGATACATTTGCAAATATTACATATTGAAACAAATATTATTGCTAACAGAAGAGTAATTTAAACAGGCATAAGATTCCTTTTTACTTCTTTCAAATTTATTAGCACTAACCTGATCAAATGCTGGAAAAATGTAATCTGCAAACTGAATTTCTGCAATGGCTGTAGCACCTGTAACAGCAACTCCAATACCGAAGCCAACAATTCCTTGTTCACACAAGGGGGTGTTGAAAACTCTATCTTTACCTATTAAAAAAAAAACAAAAACAAAAAAAAAAACACAATTCCTTTAACACACCAGCTCTAAGTGGAAAACATAGTCCCAGGAATATTCAAGTTATAAACAACTCACCTACAACCAAGCATACAGCTCTTTAGATGTGCTTTTTTAGGTGTAGGAACAGTAAACATCCATTACAGGTAAAGATACTTTCACTTTAATTGGTAACAGCTCAGAGGAAGACAAGGAAAAACAAAATGAAAGATAAGAACAGTTCCTGTAACTTACAATGTTCTTAACACTTCAAGGAACATAATTTGTTCTGATGCATATACAGGTAAGCATTCATAGCCCTCATGCTTATATGGGAGGACCAAACAATACTTAGAAGCATTTTTTAAAAGTTTACAATAAAGAACAGTATTGTTACTTCAATTATCTTCAAGTAGTCAAAACTAACTGCCCATACTCAAAGGCAGATGGATCTACGAGAGCACCTGTATAAAAGTATACTGGCTCTTGCCCACACTCCCCATAAGCAGTGCGCAGTCTTACCAGTCTTCCTCTGTAACGTAAGGCTGTGCTTGTTAAAGAATTTGGTTTGTCTCCAAGGCAGGAGGAAAAAAAAAAGCTGTTCCTGCTGTTGGAGGCACAAGACTGGAAATCAAATATTTTGGGCTTTGTATCTTCCCTGTGGGAGTGCAAAATGTCATGCTAGCCCTGATACATTCCTGTGCCACAGTAGTTTCAGATTCCAAATATGCATCAATCTAATAAATGGCTGAAGACAAAATTGTTCATGAAATTAAAAACAAGAAGGAGGAGGAAGGAGATGAAACACCACAACAATATCCTCTACAAGACATATTTACAATATCTGCCAGCAGTACTGTACTACCTCAACAGATCAACAGGAGAATCTAGTTATGCTATTAACTTTTCCCTTTAGAACACTAGGGAATAGGAGTCCATCGTGCATGAGTATGCCAGTACTTCAAACCAGATGGAAAAAAGCGAGCACAGTCCACACCAGTGGCTATGAAATAAATTAAATAGTAACTAAATAACCACCAAATAAATACCTAAAAAGAAAGAATAAACCAATCAATTATTAATTACAAACGTTGTTGCTATGAAGATTTCTTATTTCAAGAGCTGCAAGTTAACAAACTCTAGAAAGGGAAGCTAACAAAAGATTTTAGAAAGATAAGAGGAGAACGATTGCCCACGGTTGTATTTATGATATACTAAAGGGAGGAATGTTTTACAAATCTTTCAAGCACACATCTTTCATCATCATACATCACCCAGCACAGCATTACCACTGTTTGTACCCTGCCCAGGTGCTTTACCTGGTGTTTTGAGTTTCATACTTCAAGGGTTACTTTGCTTCAGGTTGGTTTTTTGGTTTGGGTTTTTTTGTTTGTTCGTTTTGCAGGGATTTTTTTTGATACATTAGTAATTCGTTTTTGGCTCTCACTGTGCCTTCCTCTCTTTTCTCTCCACCAGGAACATGACTAAAACACCATTTATTTAAGGCAAGTAAAAAAAAAAGCCATCAAATGATACTACAACGTTGGTGGTGTCAGTGAGGCTACACAAGCCAACACAAGTCCAAAGGGCTACCACAACTGCAGGACACTCCATGCTTTTGCATACAAGACAGGAAACATTTACAAGCACCTTAAAGATCATCTTTTTGAGGGGAAGAATCATTTTCTCAAAGTAGTCATTCCAAACTTCTATGACTTCTACTCTTTTCTTAAGAGTGTTTGAAACAAAAATCCCTGAGACTTACAGTACTTTTAAGATGCATGCACATTGGGCTGCTGCTTCTTCAGAAATAAATTTCCAAGAAACTTTTTCAATTCTTATGACTTAGAAGTCCTGCTATTGCCGCTGGAGATAAAAATGTTACCACTGCTAGCTCTGTAATTAAAACTGAATTCCAGATTAACAAAACTATTGCATAGCTTTTGAAAGAAAACGAGGGTTTGTTGTCTGGATGTCAAACACACCCAATATTACCCTGATCAACTCTGGATCACAGCAAAGTACCTTGCAGCTCAGAGAACATTTTACAAGTACAAAAACCTGCTAGCTCTCATTTCCAAGGTATACAAGCAAGCTGATCTCAGTAATTTCCAGATGTGGCTCATCTGTACTTTGTTTCATATCTCCTGGAAGAAAAATAATAATCTCTGCAGGTACTGTGCTCAAAAGTTGTTCTGACTGCAAATGAGAATTGAAGTAAGAATTGCAGTAACTTCGTAGCACTCCCATTTACTCTTGCTGGGCATTTATTTTATCAGCATGCTGCAGTAACGCTACTGGTCTGCATGTTTGCACTCTTCCTGTACTAATACTACCAATGTGTCTGGCAATGCCACTACTTAAAAACAGCCCCAGCCCTGAAAGATTATCATTCCAAGTAGCAGAAAGACAGAATGCTCTGGGAAACCCAGAACTGGGGAAGATACTGAAGATACAACTTGTTTTTATTGTCCTCATAATTAAGTTATACTCACTTCTGACAGACATCATTTGTGTCTTGGCTTTACTGCCAAGAATTAACAAAAATGAGTTCAAAAAGCTTCACGCAGGAATAGTCTCTTCCTTTAAAAAGGGGAAGATTTCAGTCACATCAGTAGCATGCTTCTCCCACGCAGAATAAGAAACTTTGGCTTTCAGGGATATTTAGTCCTATTTCTACAGAGCAAATAGATCAGTAAACTAATCCATAAGATGGAGAAGGAAAATAATGCCATGGAAAGATGAAAGAACTTCTATAACAAGGAGAACACAAGACTAGTTTCGAACCTAGAGTGAGTGTATACTGTGTAAGTTGTTCTCGTTCCTGAAGGATGGCTGTCATCTCAGTTCCCAAACTCTACAGTATCCTCAGGTGCGCTCCCTCCACTGACAGGCATCACGGTCAAGGAAAGAGGACCATAAACCGCCTATGCAAATGTATAGTTGGCCCAAGCCTTACCACCACTGGTGAGGGTGGGGAAACCCTCCTTCAGATGCAACCACAAGAACTGTCCCTGTACCCATGTCCATCTGCAACTATAAATACTTGGCAAACATCTCCTTCCCTCTTTTTTATTCAATCTAGAGCGCCATGAATTAGACATCTTGTTTCCCTTCTTTTTCACCAATGCATTTAAATTTTTAATTTTAAACAACTCCTGTTTTAATAAACTAAAAATACATTAATATTACCAAGACATATTACACTTTCCTACTTCTTCAGTCTTCTATTTCACTTCACTTGCTTACATGACATTTTAATATAGGACATAACCAGCAAAGAAAACACTGAAAAAATAAGACTACAGAAGAAACTGAAGGGAAAAAAAAAAGTTAAATTCACAGTAAATTTAAAAATATAGCATTTTTATATTGAAATAAAAATATTCAATTGGCCTTTTTTCCTTCATGTGAATTTCTATTCTATTTTTAACATGTACTGATTTACTGAAATGCAGGTAAGTCTGCTTTGAAACTCTACCACATAGCCTACATAAATAGACTAATGTCTGAGCAGAACACAAAAAAAAACCAAATTATTGAGAAGTGCCCAGAAGTCAGATCATACTAAGCTTAGCTAACCTTATTCTTTATTAACAGATATTTCAGAGTACACTGAAATAGCTTAACACATTGGTTCCACAAATAATTTTATATCATCACACAAAAGTTGAGATGTATTTGAACTATCTTGTAAAATGAGCTTTTAACTAATAATTGATAAGAACTTCAAAATTAATTCTTTAATATCAATTTGGGGTAGGTGAATGAATTTTAAAAGCATGTTAGATCCACCACACTAGTATGCCACTCTGATTCAAATATAAAATACATCCTAATAAAACTGCTGAAATACTATTGAGATATTAAATTAGAAGCAGCATGCTGCTATCAATGGAGTACGATGAAAGAAATTAAGTGAAAAATTAATAAAAGCAAATGTGAAATACAACATGACAGCTATAACATGACCAGCTTGAAGCAGCTAATTTGGACTTTCAGAACTAAAGGCATAATCCTGAAGTACTATGGGTTAAAACAGTAAAGAAAGAGCCAGGTAATTGTCATTGAATGAAATTTATTACTCAGGAATGGTTTATGATTGTACATTTAAAACAATAACACTGATCCGTTAAAAGCAAAACCTAAAGCACTTTACTATTCATTAGATGGGAAAACAAGCCTTGGATAGAGTTTCAAGGGGTAGGGTTTACTTTATAACATATAGCCGTTCAACACAAAAAGATACACACATTATTAGGGTAAAACAAATTTACTAATTTCCCTGAACTTTAAAAATATTATGGCATGGCTTTCACCTCCTACTTCTATTGATACAATATGAAAATCATTACTTAAGCTAACATAAAATATTTAAACACTGAGCATTTAAAGGCATTAAGCATATGTATTACTATCTATTTAATTTCATTTTTTTCCACATTTTTTTCAAAATGTGAAAAGGAAGTCAATTTTGATCCACAGCCATTCACAGCATCCTCTGCAAACCAGCTGAGTCAGATTTCAACTGAAATCTGACTGAAGCAGACAAATAACCCAGAGATACTTTGTCTTTCCATATTTCATTTCCGTACCAATGAAGAAACATTTCCTAAAACGTTCTCTTCTCCTATTACTTGCGTCAGCCACACAGCTCAAAACAAGCCAACACAAACGGACTTGTGACTCCAGGTGAAAGTAGTACCTCTACATTATCTGAAACCAGGTGCGTCAGCCTCTGAAGACAGACATTATGCTGGCGTCCAGTTCAATTAACCTGCCTAGCTTCATAAACATCCCTTGTTTCAGCCATCTGAACAGGTTATTGCCCTTCTCCAGCTAGGGAGGGAAGCAATATGGCAAAGAGGGCTATATGAAAAAAGGATGATTCTTCTCATCTCTTCATCCTAATAACCCAGGAAGAAGATTAGATGCATGTGAAGCAAGTGAACAAATACACTAGAAGTGTTGCCTAATAAGGTAAATCTGAAAA